AGGAGGTTCAGGTAATGAAGGAGGTTCAGGGGCTGCAGGAGGTTCAGGTGTTGTCCATGAAGGAAATGTTTCTGTATCTGAACTGACCAGAATCAACGTTTGAAGATTTACTCATTATGTAGAAAAACTTTTCTCCTCGTGACAAATAAAATGTTTGAATCACTCACAAGTCTCACCTTTATTCTCCTCCTCCTCCTCCTCCTTCTTCTTCTTCTTCTTCTTCTTCTTCTTCTTCTTCTTCTTCTTCTTCTCCTCCTTCGGGCTCACTGCTGCCCCCTGAGGTCGATAGAGTGAAACTCGTAATTTAAATAAATAGATTCTATATTTTAGATATTTTAGATATTTTAGATGTTTTAGATATTTTAGATGTTTTCAAAGAGACTAATTAAATGTTGAATAAATTAAAGATGGCGCCGCTGCATCGTGTCTTGTTTGTGACCATTGAATTAAAACTACAGTAAAGCACGACGGTTTACGACAGTGCCCGTCGATGTCCGGTAACGTAAAGTGCTTAGGGACTCAAACATGTGGCGTGAGAAGTAGCAGAAACTGAAGCCTCCGGTGAGATGAGAAACTTTAATCAATGATTTCACTTCATCACATGACGCGTGGAGACGTTAACGCCGTCGTGACGCTGTGTTTGTGTATCCGAACCATTTCCGGGGACATTAACTAAGCTGTTAGCATGTAGCTTAGCCGCTAATACAGCTAGCCAGGGTTTCATGTTTGTGTTGAGTTTGATCAGTTTGAGGATTAAAGTTGAATTTGTGCCCCCCCCAGCTCCTGAATCAAACAGAGACTTGAGATGGTTCCGGGTTCAGTTGAACTGTTGAAGCGATGACAGGTTGTTCCGGACAACAGAAGTTCAGTCACAACATATCACTTATTCTTATTTCACTTGTTTTCATGTCTTCACTCCTGGTTCTGACTCTGGACCTGAGTCCTGTGGTTCTTACAAAGCTGCTGAACATTGTGTCTCTGCCTTTATGAGATCATAGTGTTTATTTAGACTTCACGTGGCTCCACAGCCACATGAATCCTCTGCTCATGGAGAGTAACAGGTGTGTGTTCTGCGTCTGCAGATGGAGAACTACAGTAAAGCTCGGACGGTGGAGCAGCCCTCTGTCTGTCCGTTCCCCGGACTTGACCCTGACACGCCAGAGGTCCGGGTCAGAGACGGCAGCAAGATCCGCAACCTACTGCGATACGCCCTGAGCCGCATGGAGACCAAATCCAGAGCAGCTGAAGAGACGGGACGCCTGGCGCCAGAGGAGGGAGGCGTGGCTGTGGAGGGACAACAGGAGGCACCGGTCCAGCCCCTCTGCAAACAGATCATCTTCACGGCGAGTGGTAAAGGCGTCTCCAAAGCCATCACCTGTGCTGAGATCGTGAAGCGGCGCGTGAAGGGGCTCCACCAGCTCACCCGGCTGCTGTATAGCACCGTGGTCGAGGTGTGGGAGCCGCTGGAGCCCACCGCCGGCCTCGACAGTCTGACAGTCAACAGGAAGCTGCCCGCCGTCTGGATCCTCCTCTCCAGAGAACCACTGGACTGTGGCCAGCCCGGTTACCAGGCCCCCGGGCGATATGACGCCCTGTGGGTTCAGTCTGCAAACAGAGATGAGGGGGGAGGCATCCCCGCACAGAGACCAGGACACAGGAGGAAGAGAGGGGGAGGAGGCGGGGAAGGCAATGGTGGAGGCCGAGGCAGAGGGAAGGGTCTCGGACGTAAGACTGGACGATCCAGAGATGCAGCTAAATGATGTTGATTTTCACAAACTGCACGAACAGGAAAGACTGAACGCAGAAGCAGCAGGAAGTGAAATAAGTGACGTTTTATCAGCAGGAAACAAGTCAAAACTACAGGAAGTCGACATGGACACAAAGAACAGTCACAAGTTTGCTTCAATGAACTCAAGGTTTCAGTTTATTATTATTTTATCACCTGACTGAATTTTATTTTCATTCTTGGAAACAGAAGCAAACAGAAGCTGTTTTTGAGAAAACATTAATTTCTCAGTTAAACCATAAAAAGTCGAAGCCTTCGTCAGTCACATTCGTCTGTGACGGATCAAATCCAACTCTGCTAAATTTAATGAGTTAATAAAAGTCTTCAAGCAGAAATCTGTGAGTTGTTTTTAAATGTTTCAGGTGTTTAAAAATGTTCATTTGATGCAGATTGTTGTTTCCTGTCTGTTGAAACACGTTTGTACAATAAACAGACTCTGAAAATAACAATCAGTTTATTAAAGTTTGTTTAAACCTGAAATCCTGTTAAACATTTTTCATTTCTTCACATTTCTGGTTTATTCTGGAAAACAATTATTTATTTTTAGAAAAAAACAAGAATAAAGTCTGTAGCAGTGAGCAGTCAGTCAGTCTGTAGTAGAGGTCAGTCAGTAGCAGTGAGCAGTCTGTAGTAGTAGTGGTCAGTCAGTAGTAGTGAACAGTCAGTCTGTCTGTAGTAGTGGTCAGTCAGTAGCCGTCTGTCTGTGTGGAGGACCTGGTGGCACCTTGATCTCTTTATCTCCTCAGCACGTGAGGATTAGAGCCTCAGCAGCAGGATCAGATCAGATCAGTGGACGAATGGAGCAGAGTGGACGCTCGGAGACTCTCGTGCTGCTGCTGCTGCTCGGCCGGCTGACCGTCGGCCCGGTGCTGGCTCAGGTCCGCCACCCTCTGCCTGTACTGTGGATGATGCCGGTCAGCTCCGGGCCCGGGGGGGAAAACCTGACGGCCGGACTGGGTGCAGCCGTCACCCTGGCTCTGCAGGACCTGAAGAAACAACCTCCACCGCTGGGAAACTATGATCTTCAGCTGCAGCTGCTGGACTCACAGGTTGGTCTGAGGCCCGTGGACTCACTGACGGACGCCGAGCTCTCACAAGGTCTTTGGGTCGTGTCCCTAACATCTGCTGGTAGTTGGTAACTTAAATTGATAAGATCTTCAAACGCACAAGGGATATTCACTATATTATAAAACATGTCCCATCTGATAACATGGAGGAGGCGGGGTTTATGACCTGTACTGCCCCAGCCACCAGGGGGATTTAGATTTTGTCATGTCATCCATCTGTTGTGTTTTTGTCATGTTCTGAAGTGCGATCCTGCGAAATCGCTCAAAGCTCTGTTCGACGCCATGTGGGCGGGGCCAAAGTACCTGATGGTGTTTGGAGGGGTGTGTCCAGGGGTGACATCACTGATCGCTCGCTCTCTGCCAGCTCTCAACCTGGTGCAGGTACATTCACACCTCTGGCTTCTTCAGAAATACACTTGACTTTGTGAATGTTCCTCACGTTTGTTGTTCACGTGAAAACTCTGACGACAGTTTCCTGTGTCCTTGGACGTTGCAGGTGTCGTTTGCGGTGTCGTCCCCCAGCTTGGCCAACAGGAAGTGGTACGGGAACTTGTTCAGCACAATGCCATCAGACCGAGCTGTGAACCAGGCCACGGTCAAACTGCTGCAGCGCCACCAGTGGACCAGAGTCGGCATCGTCACCCAGGAAACACCCAGACTCTCACAGGTGATGATGATGGTGACCTCCTGACCTTTCATCTGACATCATCAGGCCCACAGAAAACTCCACCAGTGCCCCCCCCACACACACACACACACACACATTCACTCTGACGAGCGGTAGCTGGTGTCGAGGAACCGCCCACATTTGATTAGATGATTATTATTAACAAAATGTAAATGACCTGACATGGAGTCTGCCAGGATGGTTTGAAAC